GGCCCCGGACTCCCGCAAGAGGCCCCTCGAGACGCCCCCCGAGGTGGTCTGCACCAAGCGCAGCAACACGGGAGGTGGGTGCGAGGGGGCTGCGGCGCGGCGGGGGCGGGCGGGGGCCTCGCCGCCATCCTCCATCCTCCCCCCACGCGGCAGGTGCACGGGCGGGGGGCGGGGGCGGCGCCCTCCCTGAGCCCCGGGACGGAGCGGGGGGCTGGCGCGGGCTAGCGCCGACCCCTCCTTGCCTCGCCGCGGCCCGGGCCGGAGCTTTGTCTGCGACGAGAGGGGCTGGGGGAGGGGGTGGTTAGTGTCCTTGGGGGCCGCCCCAGAGGATGGGGGCGTGGGTCCCATCAGGCGGGCGTCTGAGTGTCCTTGAGGGGGGTGTGGTGTGACCCTTGAGGGCAGGGGTGTCTCCCGGGCTTGCAGTCCGTCCTGGCGGGGGAGGGGAAGGCGTAGAGGAGGCCTGTGGAGGACCGGAGCTTCCCAGCCTCCCTCCCAGGCGGTGTCCCGAGCAAGGGTTGTCCCCAAGGGAGGTCTGCGCGGGCCATAGGTGGGTTTGTGCGTGGGCACAGGCCGGGTGGGTGTGTTGGGTGACACAGAGGAGAGGGTGGGTGTGTAAACGTCGGTGGGAGAGCGCGAGGCCAGGACAGGTGTGTGTGGCTGTGTGGGCCATGTAAGGCCCGGCTGTGTGACATTAGAGATGGGAGATGTGACAGGATGCAGGGGGTGTGTGTAAGAAACAAGGCTACCTGAGGGACGGGGCTCAATGTTTGAGACCCTCAGAGGAGTGTGTGTGGCTGGAGAAGGTGTGTGTGCTTGTCACCTCAGAGGAGGCTGTGGTGGAGTGTGACACACGAGTGAGAGGGTGTGTGACATGCAAGGGGGTGTGTGGGGGATGCCGAATGGGTGTGAGCCATGGAGGAGCTGTGTGGATCAAGGGAAAGGGCTTCCGTGTGTGTGTGTGTGTGTGTGTGTGTGTGTGTGTGTGAGTGAGAGAGAGAGAGAGAGAGAGAGGGAGAGAGAGATGGGTGTGGATCGGGTGGGGTAGGACCAGGAGAAGCTGGTGAGGGAATGTGACAAGAAAAGGGTGTGGGTGTGACTCCAGAGAGGCTATGGCTGGGTGTGACACATGGAGGTGTGCAACAGTGACATCAGAGGGGGTGTGTGCAACAGTTAAAGTGGGTTTATGACAAGAGAGAGGCTGGGGCTTGTGGGGAAAATGTAAGAGGGTGTGTGACAAGAAAAGGGAAGGATGGGTGCCCTGGTGACAGGGGACATGCGCATATGACACCCAAATTTGTGTATATGTGTAACAAGAGCAGGTGTGTGTATGAAATGGCTGAGTGTGAGAGACTGCAGGTGGGATGAGTCTGTGTACAACAAGGGAAGGCGTGTGTGTGAGTGTGTAAGGTGGCTGAATGATACCAAGGATGTGTGTGTGTGTGTGTGTGTGTGTGTGTGTAAGGCAAGAAGCGCCCTCACTGTGTGGTTACCCAGGGAAGTGTGTGTACCAGAGTAGCAGAGCCAAGCTGGGGGTGTGGGGTGTAAACCTCCACAGTGGGAGACCAGGGAAGAAGCAGGGCTTATAGGGGTCCTCAAAGTTCAGCCCTGCAGCTCCCTGAAAGGAGGGAGACCCCAGAGCAGACAAGCCCCTCCCTGAGGTCACCTTGGCCAAAATCTCAGCTTCCTCTGGCCTTTCCTCCGGATGGGAGAGGATGGCCTCGGACAGAGTCACCCTTCCCTCTCTGCCTGACTCCGGGAGGTGACTGGAGTGGGGGGCCTTCCGCCTCCCCCCTCCATGAATACAAGCGACGTCCCTTCCTCCCATCCCAGACCTCCTCACCTCCAGCCAGGTGGGACAGGAATCAGGGACCCCCCTGGATGCCTGTAGTGGGATCCAGCAGAAATTGGAGGAAAAGGAAGTTGGGGGAGGGGTGAGAAGGGGTTTCCTGTCCTTCTTCCTGCACCCCCACCCCCTGCACACACATGAATATGTCCCCGCCACTTCCTTCCCTTCTTCCTGCCCCACTGCCATTCCCAGTTCTGGACAGGATCAGGACCAGGAGGTCTCCTTGAGGGAGGGAGTCCCACCTTCGTCTTAAAGGGGCTGAGGTGGTACAGATCCGATGCTCAGCGACACAGCATAACAGTGATGATGCTGCTGTTGCTAATGACTGTCACCTCCACCTACTTGGCACCTACTATGAGGCGGGCTGGGAGACGCGCAGGAATTTCTCAATACAACACTCCAGGGAGGTGATTCGAGCTGCTTTTTAAAGATGAGGAAAACTGAGGCTCAGCAAAGCGAAACCATTTGCCTAAAGTCCTGGAGCTCCTAAGTGAGGGTTGCTGGGATTTATCTGACCCCCCGGCCGCCTGGTTCCAGGGCATGTATTCCTAACCCTGAACTGTCCTCCCCACCCCCACCCCCGCCGACACACACCAGTACAAAACTGGGGCAACCCTTTAGGGACCATCTCCTCCTCTGAATTTTCTCCCACTTCCTCTCCAGAGTACCCTGGGGGAAACTGAGGCTACAAAATGCAGAGGGACGTTCTTCCTTGGATAAAAATACTCAGAGGCAGGGTAGGGGAAGGGTCCAGGACTTTGATCTCAAAATTGAAGGCTCCTTTCAATAAGGGACCTTCATGGCTGTGGGATGCTGGGCCAACCCCTCCCCTTTCTTAGCTTCTGTGTCTCCTCTACCAAATGGGAACATAACAATAACCACAGAAGTGGCGTTAACAGCTACCAGTGTCACTGTCTAACGCCTTACACGCCATGTCATACTATTCTCCCAGTGCTCTACGACGCAATACTAATAATAAATTAGAACAGTGGCTGACCTTTATGGTGCGAAAATGTGCCAGGAAGTATTATGGAAAGTGCCTGACATGGGTCATTTCATCTTTACAGTTTTATTGTTATCTAGCTTACACATGAAAAATTGAGGCACAGAGACATTAGCCAGCTAGTAAGTGGCAGAGCCAGGACTTGAGCTTGAGATGAGCTCCATTGTGTGTACAGTGAGCCCCATGTTCAGGTGAGGAAAATGGGGTGCAGAGGACTGGGCAGCTTTCCTAGGCTCTTGCCCTCAGTGCCGGCCTGTCTCTCCTGCGTAGTCCTGGGGCCAGCGGGAGTCACGGAGGAGACTGTGGCTGCTCAGCTGGCTTCCAGGTTCTGCCACGGGGAGGGAGACGGGCACTGAGGCCTTACAGGCAGACTTGGGCGGAGAGGGTAGACGGAAACCCCAGTCAGGGTGTCATCAAAGAAATCAAAGGCCCCGCTCCGGTGGGACAGTAATAAAGCATGTCCCCTGAGAGATCATAACTCTTAAACTGCAGCTGTAATGGCAGCCATGATCCTGACTGTATTCCCACCTCTGTCATCCCCAAAATACAGAGAAAGCAAAGGAAAAAAAAATCCATACACAGGCATACAAATATCTCACGCCCCAAACGGCTTATGGCGACAGGTCCTACTACAACATCCCTCACTCTTTAATACAAAGACAGTGTCACCAGGGCAAGAGCCTGAGAATGAGACCTTTCAAGGTTCCTGTCTCATCACTGTCATGTGCTTGGCATGGGCTCCTCAAGCAAGTTTTTTCACTACTCTGGATCTCAGTGATCCTATCTGGGAAATGGGCACAGTAAGGTTTACCTTGCCAAGTGGTTGTGTGAGTTGATTGAGATTGCGAGTGTAAAGGGCACAGCATGAGGCCTGTGCCCTTTACACATGAGATGGCATGTGCTCGATAAAGAATAGCTGTCATCCAAAAACGGAATATTCCCCCTTTCACCCTCCATTGGAGAATCAACACCCAAGAGAAGCCCACCCTGCACCTTCCTCTGTGCCAGATGCAGGGCTAGACACCCTCATGATTCTCACCATCTCATCCTTATATGAGCACAGTCCAGGTGCGCTGCATTTCATGCCAACAGGTTCATGGAATGACGTCACAGGCCTGACATCCCACCCTCCTCTGTAGACCCACACCTTCGCCATCTCTTGTCTTTCCCCAGCGACCTCCCCACTCACTCCCTGTGACAATACCAGTCTCACATCCCAGCCTCCCCTCACCTCCATGGGAATAGTCCCCAGCGCCCCCATCAGTGATCTGACTTCAGTGCCCCGCAGACATGAAAACACCCCCAGGGATCCGAGCCACTGACAGGGTAAACTCTGTGACAGTAAAATGTGCCACTCTTACTGACACCTGAATCTCTGGAGCAGGCGCACATTAGTTATGGATGGGAGAAGAGTGGGGTGATTTGTAAAAGCCTTCAAAAGCACCCCCGAGAGCCATGGGCCAGAGGCCGGGTGGTTGGAAGGGGTGAGACAGCTCAGCCCCTTCCCAAGGTGGCAAAGCTGGAAATTGCAGCTGGAAGGTGACAGGTTCATCAGCGGAGCTGACGTTGTCATCTTCACTTTGTTAGTTGCTGTCATTGGTTTGAGGAGCTGCCTGGACCCCAAGGGAAGAGCTAATTTTGAGCTGGGAGTTCTGGCGTCTAGATTCTCTCTAGATAGAAGGAAGAATTTCTCACTGGCAGAGAGAGTTCCACCGTGGTTGATCAAACAGGATGGGAGCATGATGTCTGGGGACTCTGGGTTCAGCTGAGGTCATGGCTCTGCCCTGGTTGCAAAGGATGCTGGGAAATAAGAGGCCTGGGATCTTCCTAGAAAAGTTGGGATTCATGTGGTGATTTGGGTGCACCCCCAAACAGAGAGGATGTGCAGAAGATTCTAGAAAGGACCAAAAGCAAACTCTGTCAGAGTGGGGACTCTGGGACTCGCAGTGCTGAGTTTCTGCAGACAGGAGGTCAGCTTGTCACTCCCCAAAACAAACTCGCCTGAGGAGGAGGCTCCAGAAATTCCCACTAGTCTGATGCAGGGACCACCCAGCACCCACAGAGTGGCTTACGGTGGCCCATGGACAAGACTTTTTTATCTTCTTGACCATTATAAATTTATGTTAATGTATTTTAGGGAAAAGAGCCATAACAGCCTTTCAGATTCCAATTATTAGCAATGGTTTTTAATGTTTGTTTTTGTTGTAGGTTTTGTAGGTTGCTGT